CGGTCCAAAGAAAGGATGGGGGCCAAAGATCAATTTCCCCATATGACAGAAATAGATTGCTGATACCTTCATCTCCGCTCTCCGTCTGAGAATTGTCGGAAGGGGAAGAAGAGGACTGGGCGGGTGACGGATTGGTGCCACCAGAGCTGTTTTCGAGAGAGGCAACGGCAGTGGAGTTGAGGTGGAGAAGCCGGGAAGCAACTCCGGCAGCTAAGGACGACATCAGCACAGAAGAGGGCAGCAGAGAGCGGCTTCGTGGGCGGAGGAACGCTGGGTCGGGGAGCTTCGGGGACGAGATGCAAACAGAAGTGGAAACAGGAAGGAGAGAGAAACGGTGGTAGAATCTGGGAAGACACGACATTATAACGCTGCTGGTTTTGGGATGCCCACTTACTTGTTGCTATGCAGCTCTCTTTGGACCATACCTTAATTCAATCAGCTGGTAATGGATTTTTTTATAAATAATCTTCAACCTCAATATTGCAATAATAATATTTTAAAAAATAAATGAAACTCACAGAACAAAAGATTAATAGAAATAATAATGTACACCCAAAAATGACGTTCACAAATCTCGAGGTAATCTGACATCTCAGATTTAAAGAAGAATATCCCCTAACAAAAAGCTATAAGTAATCATAAAGTCAACATGCTGAAGAACTGTCAGCCAACCATTAGCCAGACAACTGAAAATTGCTGATTTACCAATAAAAGGCAAACATTCACACCAACAAATCTTCGCAAAATCCCCCAAAGATAAATGATTAACAAGCAAGACAACCAGACACCATAAGACTGATTGGCTGCCTCTTGCAAGACATTTGGTTCCCCAGAGCTGATTTACACCATCTCGGCCAACCGACTCGAAGACCTGTCAGCTCGAAGTTCCAGCCACATAAAAGGATATCAAAATCGGTTACAAATGAAAAAAAGCACGACAAAAGACGGTAATACACTATAACGTCTTTAAAGCATAGGCAGGTATGTAATTTTCCACCTTATGGCTCTTTTCGTATATAAACCGGGTCAATAGCATGTAAAAGTGGTTTTTGGCTCTTCTCTCATGGCATATGCTCTATAAAGAGATCTCTCTCTCATTCTCTCTCGTTATTGTTTAGTTACAATATATAAAATGAGTCACAGAGCCTAAAAATACCCTAGCTTGTCCCTACGGGCAAGTCTAAATGTGTTCTTTTATTTTTTTTCTCTCTCTTTACTTCTCCCTCAGGGTCCTTACCTCTCTAATCCTTCGGCATGCCTCGCAAGACAAATTTGGATTCAATCTCCTAAAAGTTGTGGTGAGCTTGAAGCATGATACCAACAAAAAGGGAAGTGACACCGACGAGGAGAAGTGCATCTCAAAGACACTCTTAAACAAGAATCATGCTAAAGAGTTCATGAAACAACATGTCTGGAGCTTGAAACCTCATTTTTGTCATCTTCCTAGAGGTTTTGGCTAAGAGGTAAGTACCTCAAAATAGATGGTTAGTTTTCAAAGGTCAGAATGAGCCTACCCATCATACTCGCACATCATTCGACTTATTCCAGGCAGCCGACAAACTACTCAGCATATAAAGGAATATTAAAAAAAAATCTGACATTATGACAAATTTCTCTAATGTCTTCATAGGTCTATTTGACACTTGGAGAACTTGAATCTAAAAAATCACACTGATCTCAACCCCAAAGAGATTCAAACAACATCGTAGTCCACAGCGTTCCCGCATTAAAATTTTTAGTCTCCACTCAAATCAGATAAATTTTTTAAAGTGGTTCCCTATCTAGTAGCGACAAGCTCCATGAATGATAAGGTGCAAATCATTCCAGTAGTGAGTCTCAATGGTTACCCTTGAGAAGGCAGCAAAAATATTGACTTAAGTCTTGGTGAATGGTGAGATCCGGCAGAGACAATAATCTGACCGAGTGACATGCATTAAAATTACCTATTTTAAATGTACATTTTATGCTCAATTTTAAATATATTGCATTTTAATGAAAGGTATTTTGGTGCTTTTGATTGCAGGTGCAAGAAATGGAGATTAAGAATGAATAATAAGGAGCAAAAATACATCAAGAAAGAGCAAAATAGAGCTGCAGAGACCATGGGAGAAAATTTGACCGGCGCTTAGGGGCTGCGATCTGGCGCCTACGCGCTAGATTCTTCTAGAAGGTTGGCGCCTAAGCGCGGTAGTTGGGCGCCTAGGCGCCATAAGTGGTTACATTTATATTAAATGGATTTGTAAGAATTTTGAAGAGGTTTCTGAAGCAACCTCGGTGATTTTCAAATCTCTATTTATAAGGATGGATTCCAAATGAAAAGGTGTGTGTGTTCAGTCATTTTTTAGATTGTTAGTGATTATAGAGTATTGTGGAGTCAAGTTCAGTCAGGAAACTTCAGAGAATTATTTGGGGAAAAGTTTGAGATAAGTATTCGTACCTTTATTTAAGTTTGGTGTTGTAAACTTGGTTTTTAATATATATATATATATATATATATATAT